TTTTTATGAATTTTCTTTTATTTTTTTTTTTTGTATTTTTTCTTAATACTTTCATTTCCTTGTAACATTTTTATGGTTTTTTAATTTTATACATTTTTAATTTTTTTTAATCTTTTCTTCAAATCTCTAACATTTTTTCTTGCTGCTGCTGCTTCGCTGTGAAGCAGTAAAATTTGCGCAATCGTAAAATTGTCTAATTAAAAAATGTTTTTTTTTTTGTTTTTCTTGCCTGTTATTGTTGTTATTCAGGCATAGAACACAGAGATTTGCACAAAAATAAGAAAAAATAAAAATAAAAAAAAGAAAAAATAGAAAAAAGAGGAAACAATACTGTGTTTATTATTATTTGATGGGCAATTCCAGGGCAATCAACGCAGCGAGCAATGTGTGAATGAGTGTACATACATACACGTTTGAAAAAAAAAATGTATGTGCATATGCCTATATACGAATATATGTGCGTATATTATATTACTATGCACACGGATATGCATACACACATACACGTACATACTTACATGTGTAAATGTTTATTTAAACAAGTGCTTATGGGCGCTCGTATATCACTTTAACTTCATTCAAACGTGAATTTTGTTAACATACAAATAATTGCTTGCATATATGTATGTATTTCTGCCTTCACCTGCCTGTAGTAAATTTTTTAATTTTTAACATATTTTTTTTTTAAACAAATATAAAACGTACTATTTTTATTACAAAAAAAGGGGAAAAAATTAAATAAAAAATCCACATAAACAATTATTCATTTATTATATTTTTATTTTCACCTGCCTTCAAGTGTTAATTTTTCTTTTCATAAAAAGCTTTTTTGTTTTGCTCTAAAATCGAAAAAAATTCACACCATTTTTATGGCAACAAAAAAAAAAACAAAAACAAATAATAAAAAGCAATAATCATAATAATTGTAACACTTCATGTAAACAATTGTTTGCTTAATAATTTTTTTTCTGCGTATTTTTTCGGTTTTTTGTTGTTGCCTGTTTGTGCTACACTTCCACATTATTACTATATTTGTGCTAAAAAAAGCTTTTATTATGTTTTTGCCCTTGTTTTGTCTGTGTGCAGGTTTATTTATTGCCAGTGTTTATGCTAAGAAATGTACGTATATATACATACACGTATATATGTAAGAGTATGTATATACATTAGCTGCTTACGACTTTCCGCAAAATACCGCTAATTTTTACTAGTATTCGATCACTAAATTATTTGACCTCTCTGCGTCATTTAAATTCAAATGAGCAAGTGCGCCACTATAACGGACGTTTGTACGTATGTATGTATGTAGTTATGTACAAATATACTCGTATGTGGCATAAGTGGAAACTCATTTTTTAATTTTTGTAAGACTCCATAAAACCATTTAAGGTTGTAAAGAATATTTGATTTGTTGTTGCAAGAAGGTCTCGAAAGACTCGATGAGGCGCTGAAAAAAAAAAGTTTAATACTTTAGCGATTTTGATGCGCCCACTATCGGTCTAGTAAAAAGTAACCTATTATTTTCGATTTAAACTGAAGGCTGGCTTCAATTACCAAAGTTAGTAATCACTTGGCGCGATATCCGGTTCATAAGGTGGATGCATAAGAACCTTTTAACCAATCACTTGCAGCTTCTATCGAGTCGCTATCGATACGCGCGCACCTTTTGGTGCCCAAGGTTGGGCGCATCTGGGCGATTTCTTCCATCAGATGGTCCATTTGCTGACAATGATGGTTAGAAGGAGCAGTTTGGCCGTAGGGAAGCTGCTCATAATGGCTAATTCCTTGACAATTCCGCCAATATTGGCTTGCAGACTGTTTGTGCCGCCTTACTAACCTTCGACCAGGACCGTTTTCATTTGACGTTGCCTTAAATAATCCTTTTTTCATCACAATTCACTATCCGCTTAACAAATAGTTCGTTTTTGTTAGGATTCAGCAGCGATTCGCAAACGGAAATTTAGTCTACTTTTCTCGTTAACTCATGTGGCACCCATACATCGAGCTTCCTTGTAAGAAACCAATGTTGGGTATACCGGTTAGAGACAGCTCCTTTTTGGATCGTTGAAGGCAGCTCAAGAATGTTCCATTCCGTACGGATATTTTCCAAGATTTGACGCTTTGTGAATAACTTGTCAATTTGCCGAGCCCGAAGCCAAACCGATAAGTTCCAAACAGTTCGTGTCCGATGGACGTTCGATTTTCACATAGTACGCTCGACAAGACCTCATTTGCTATTTTGAAGAGACTTATACAACTTAAATCGTCGAAGTAAAAATATATATTAACATTTCATCCGACCATGTTCTGATGATTCATGCATCTTGCCATCTCTTCGCCGTCTTGTTGTATTCCAACTTCCTCAACCTCAACCTCACCGAACATCGGTTCCCGCCGCGTTGTTATTCTTTAGGCGGACTTCAACAAAGTCGGGGGATGGAACATCTGTACGATCGTCATTGATTGGAGTTTTCGGCTTGACATTTTCGGCTCCCTCATTTTCAGTCCACTATCCGAGGCCTTCATTATTTTCTCATCTATCTTTGTCTTCCAAGGCCTGTACAGGTTTGCTTCCAATTATCGTTGGAAGAGCTCTTCCTGATACATTTTCTACTTTCTCCACTGGGATTTGTGGAGAGACCAGTTCTGGCCGTACGACCTTTTACCACACTTACGTACCCATCTAGGAGTTTATGCTGAATTTACCTAAGAATATTAACGTTACATAGACTTTGTAAGTGACCGCATTTTAGCCAACTCCATCAGCGAAGACACTGATGAAAGGGGGAGGACCTCACCTTTCAGGAAGATCCTTTTGGTCATACGATGTAGCCGTGATTGTTTTTATGTATTTCTTTTGCGATGAACCCAGCTTTACCCTGCTCTTGCTTAACCGGTCGGAGACGGTGATAGTCCTGACTGCTCTGAACCTGAGACCGGTCACGAAACGAGTAGTTAGTTTAACGAGGCATAAGAAAGATAAGCAATACTCATATTAGCTTGTGCTTAACCATGTTTTTCCTGCATGTTAGATTCCGTGAGTAAGCAGAGCTCCAAAAAAAAATCTGCCGGAAATTTATTTCAACTTATTAGTCATCACCACCAAGTGGTCTGTCCATTTATTTTGAAAGACACCTGTCCACAACCCCACTTGGCGCCACTTAAAGGCCGAAGCTCAGCAAAAGAAGACAACAAAAACAAAGAATCAGAACGAATTAGGTCATTGTCGTCAGAAGAGGCCTTTTGAGTTGAAACCCAAAACGGATATCGAATTTTCATATTCTGCTGAAATTTCACAACAAACAGCGCAACGACTGACAACAACAAATGTGAAACTTTACACCTGAATATGAAAAATATTTATAAATACTTAACTTGTAGCGAGGCTTTTGCAAGGCGTCGATAAGACAGAGGCAAGCGGGCAGGTAAGCGGGCGAAACAGAGCGTCAGTCAAGCAACGCGGAAAGACTGGCTTGGAAAAATATGAAATATGAGCTCTCTATGTTGCTTGCAGACGGACGCGAATTGCACGCGTATTGCATAGTACTTGCTTAGTGTTTGTTGTAATTACAAGTACTTAACTGCCATAATTTACATGCCGATGATGTGCAATTCGGATATACGAGTACTTGCATGTAGATAAGAAGATGTGTAGTGCAACATCGGTTTCGGTATCGAGGGGCTCGTCACATTCACCCTCTGTGCTGGGACTAAAAAGCTTGAATCTATTTAACTCAACTGAGTAATAAAAAATCAATATTTGTTGCTTGCTTGAGTGGAAGGAAAGGCTAAGGACTTAAGCGCGGGCGGCGTAGACTAAGCACTTTGTGCTCCTCGGCTTAATCGAACAATTTGCTAAAGATATCGTAGTATTTTCCGCCATCCATGCGCGCTCATCTCCATAAGGCAGAAGGTATCGTGGGGAAGAGGACATCTCAATCGGTTGGAGACCAGACACTCGCTAAGCCGCAGTTTGTCCTCCTTTGTGCAAGCTCTGCAATCAGATGATTCAATCTTACTAAGCTCTTGAAGATAATATCCAGGCAGTGGATGACCAGTCCATGCAGACGGGAGATTAATAGGTACCCCTTGTTTGGTACTTGATATATCTGTAATAGCCGTTTGGCGGCGGGCACATTTTTAACATCTTAAAAGACTTTTACTCGACGCGGAGCACATTTCAAGGGACTGGAAATCCTTTTCTTTTGTTGTTGTCTCTCTATGGACCAGGTAAACATGTGCTCTATTCCGAAAGATGAGATTTTAGTTTGGTTTGCCTTTAACGGCTCTAATCAAATTTTAAATACTCCAGTAACGACTGCTAGAAGACCCCTAACTGTTATCACTCGCCATATACAGGCTTCACACGTGAATCCTGTCCCGCTTACCTAATCAAGTTCACGAGTAATTTCCGTTCCGTTGCAACAGATCTTTCCATATACCGAGTCTGGTCTGTATATAGCAACACTAAAAATCACCACTCTGCGAGGACAGTCTTTGTAATTAATTTCGCGCTTTGGGTTCTCACTCGAACAGAGGATTTGGAAAAAATCAGTTCTCAATACGTTTCCATCTAAATAGGCTTCCATTGGAGTTCTGAGGGAATAGAACGACTTTGCTCTCCCTCGTCTCACTCGCACTGATGAGAAATGCGGCCGAATCAAGGTTGCGATATTATAGACCTTCCCATATACCAATCTCGGAACGGTTAGAACAAGATTGAAAACCTCAGCTTTGGGGTAACGTATTGATTTCGTGCTAGGAAGTCCCTCTCCGGTGCGAGCAGGGGGAGTTGGAAAGCCAGTGCTGCCTAAATAGCCTCCGTACCGACACTAATGAGTGCCTAATATGTATAAATGCTTGTATGCCGGAGGGTGTGTGTGTGAGTGTTTTGTACTAAAAAGATAACTTCGCACTAAGCTTGACGATTGCACTGACATGCTTTTCCTACATTACTAACGTTTCATCTTCTTCTTATTTTGCTTCTTTTTTTTTTGCAGTTTTGAATATATTCGCCTTCGGTGTTGGTGGAAAATAAACCAACAATTACAACAAAGAGAAAGTTATGTTCAAAGCAAATAATGCTGGCAACAGCAGCAGCAGATCCACAGAAGAACGTGACCGCCTAACAGATGGCGAATCTGACTCACGCTTTTCCTATAGAGCACGGCCTTTTTCTAGTCTACCACGTCGCTTCGCCTCGACCAAGAACTGTGCAGTGGTGACTGATGAAGATGACGGGCAGAGGGACCGCTTCCAAAATGAGAGCATCCAGCGGAGAGTTGCCCCCACAGCGAGGAGTTTGTCTCGCTTGAATACGCTTAACTATGATAATGTTGCTTTAGACATAGATGAGAGTAGCTTGGGCGCCGAAAAGAGCAGGTTTGGCTTTCAAAGCGGCAGCGTTGGTTTGGATATTTTTCCACAATTGAGCAATACAAGTGCCGATGGCAGCGACGTCGCAATGGAAATGGAGCAACTACAAGATATTAGGCGTGAAGATATTTTTCCGAATGCGAATGACATCACGCCAACGGACTCGTCGTGGGATGGCAGCGAGGATCGGGACTCCACGCATTCCTCGGACACAAGTGATTGCTCGCCCGATGATGCGACTCGTGTCCTGAACGAGCTCGACACGATCTTGGATATACACGGTGCAACACAGCTGACATCAACAGCAAGCAATTCATTGGAGACTAAAGTCGAAGACTGTTTATTGGATTTAGATAATTATCTGGAAGAGATGGACGATTATAGTTTTAGTAATAATGACGAGGAGGACAAAATTTCGGTACAATTGGCACGTACACCAAGTCCGAAACGTCTACCCACACGACAACGTAATCGGTCGTTGCCTATGAGCCGCAAAAAGAACGCACAGGCGCAGAGCGCTGAGCGCAAGCAGGATGAAGAGACAGGTGGAAGAATAGCACGTGGAGAGTTGCTACGACGCACAATAGCGTGCCCGAAAGAGCGGCGGTATGAGGGTGAGTAATTGTAAAAAGTTGCTGGCAAATTAAACGTTTTACTTAAACTCCGACCTTACTTTTAGATCTTATGGATAACCTCGAGCAGACGTCGCCCGCAATCGCGCGCTTACCGAGCACAGAAGCTTTGAATGAACTATTCATAACAGAAGAAACGCAAGAGCTTACAAATCTTCAGCCAACAGAAACGCCATCTTGGACGGAGCCAACATTTGATGCGAGCCAACTAACGGCGGTAGTTGGCAACGCGGAGGCAGAGCATTTGCCGGAGTCACATTGCAATAACTACACAGCACAGTACAGTATTAACCCACAAAGTGGCGAATCAACACCAGAAGCAATGCCTTTGCGGCCCGAGCTCCGGCGTTGCCACTCACAGAACCGACTTAGCACGACTAGCACGAACAGTCGCACGGCGATGTTGACGCAAGAGGATATTTTTAATAATTTGTTGCTACAAAACGACAACAACAGCAGCACACTGGTAAGCAGACCGCGTCAATTTGGTCGACGTGCTTCAGGTCATCCGCCTGTGCTCTCGGTGAGACCCGATATACTTGAGGGCAATCACAGCTTCGGTGTGAGCACAGCGTCCACAATCAGCAGTCAACGTCCACAAAGTGCACCTGCCATTACCGCAGCTTCGCGTCATACAAATTTTTTGACCAGCTCCGACGCCAGCTCAGCGCATACGTCGCGCAACTCAAGTCCCATCACAATCGTCTCCAGCACGGACTCAGCGTCGACATCTGCCTCGACGAATGGACACACCGCCGCTATGAATCTCGTCACAAACGGTCATTATGAGCACACGAGCGTGGAGCATAACAATACCACACATGCCAGCGCGACGAGTAGCGATAAGGAATGGCCGCACATGTGCAGCCGCGCCTTGGCGCTTGTCTGTTGCACTGTGGGTCTATTTAACTTCTCACGTTTTGCCGTGCTTACGATTGAGTATGGTGGCAACTTCGTCTTGCAATTCTTTATACTCTCCATACTATTCGGCATACCGCTATTCCTGCTGCACGTGTGTTTGGGTTCGCGTATTAAAGCGGGTCCGGTCTCAATGTGGAAGATTACTCCCATATGTCGTGGCATCGGCATTTCGCTGGTTCTGGCGCAATGTTTCATTGCAATTTACTCCACTGTGGCCGTGGCTTGGCTGCTTATCTATCTACGTGATGTCTTTCCAAATAAAGGACAGGATGGCTATTTGTGGCAAGAGATGTTAAGCCCCTATAGGCGTAGCACAAATACGTCCGCGAATTTGACGGAGAGCATTGCAGATTACTTTAATGTTGTTGTACTACAAAGACTGTATCTACTGAAGTCGCCTGAAGGCGGAGATGTACCGTTTCGCGTGAGTAATCGGGTAAGTGTCCGCGCGTCGGCTGTCGTGGAAACTTGGAGTTAAGTTATAAAAAGTAGCCATTTATGTTTCAGCTCGCCTTCAGTTTAGCGTTAATTTGGGTCTTCGTGTTCCTAATTCTGTGCAAAGGTCTCAAATCTTTTGGTAAAGCCGTCTTTCTATTGACGATCTTACCGCTCATCGCTTTAGCGGCGGTGATTTGTAAGCTGTTGTACGTGGTGGATCCAGCAAAGTTGCAGGTGAGTACAAAGCGGTCTAGTGACGCTCAACCGTTTATGTGTAGCTTGATGAGCTCTCTTTCATACTCTCTCCCACATACACACACACAGAACATCTTCACCGCCACGGACTTCAGCGAATTCTTTGAAAATTCCAAAATGTGGGTCGCCGCTGCTCAAGAGGTATTCCTGACATGGGGCTTACTCGGCTCCTCAGTGATCTCTATCACAAGCTGCACACACGTGGCTGGACGGAATGAATCCTCGCTGCGACGTGATGCGATCTTTGCCATTTTGATAACACTCTTCAGCCTCTGCATGGCTGCGTTGTTGGGCACACTGTGCATACAAATATTAAATCAGCATTCCTACAGTTATGTGCCGGGCTCATTTGGTAAGTTCTAATCTTGTTTCAACCTTCTTGAAAAATTATTAAAACCATCTCTCCACAGAAACGCTCGAGTCCTCAAAGTCCGTCTTCTCGCCGGAGTACGGCACCAACTTGAATATCATTTCCATACCGCCAAAATGGATGCCGCACTACACCAGTTTCATCGGCGACACTTATCGCCGGCAGCTGGTGCATCAAGAGAGCGGCTATCAAGCATTGCGTTTCATCAGCGAAGTCTTTCCCGCCACTTTGGTACTATCGCGAGAGAGCGTCTCTTGGATTTGGGCAGCTATTGCCTTTGCCGCTTTAACTGTCTTGGGCTTATCACAGCTGTGTGCCATGTGGAAGCCGATCGCCAGCGCGTTGGGTAATTCCATAAGCGCTGTGTTGCTGAGTTGTGTAACTGGTCTGCTCTTGGGCGTACCATTTACCACCGAAATTGGCATATCTGCACTCTATTACATGGACTTGGTGTTGGGTGGCGCTTGGTTCATAGCCCTCTTGTGGACGACACATATATTTGGTGTTTTCTTGATACGTGGTCGACCCTATAACGGTGACGATTTGGTGAATAATTTGAAGTTCTCGAATACACTCTCGGCATTTACGGCTTTGGCATGGAATGTTTTACTTCCGATTGGTTTGATCACTTTGTCCGTGGTCAGCTATAAGTTTTCATACTCCAATCAATTCTATTATTGGCGTGGCAAATCAAATTTCCAATATTGGCCGCGGAAGGTGGCCGCGGCGGTGCAAATTGGTTTCCTTTTGCTCATTCCAGTCACAGCGATTATACAAATTTATCGATATTTAACGAATGGGCCACCGGATATATTGGATGTAAGTACCATTGAAAATGACAGATTTGTGGGGAGGAAGGCCGGAAACCCTTCTAGTACCGAAGAGGAAGAGGAAAGTGGTCTGGATAGGAAAGGTCATTAGTGACGAGAGAGGTTTTGAAGAATGTGGCGGCCATAGTGGCCGAATAGTTAGTAGTACGTGCTACCGGAGGGTCATATGTTTCAATTCCTATCAGACCAATATACTAAATTATAAATTTTTCTTCAGCTCTGGTTGTCTCAAGATGGACATTTCAATCCCACCGAATGTATTTCTGACCTGAAATAAAGAGCTTCTCATAAACATACTTTAGGCGCTCAGAGAAAATCTCTTCACTGTTTATAAAGTTCTTGGGATGTATTTCTAATCAATGCTAGCATCATGACTAACTCGGCAGATCGTAGTTAATTTAGACACAAATCCTAGGGAGCCGTCATACGATTGTTGTTCTAGTACTAGCAAGAGAGTTTCCTCATATGGCGTGTACATACTTTGAGAGTCAGAGTTTCTTTTGTCTGAGAAGAGCCGTAGAGTTGTCTTCCTTGAGAGCCTTCTTGGGATGGAAGCCACAGCTCCTAGAACTAGTAGTTTAGCGGGAGAGGGCAGAGAAAAAAAAGTGGAGTGTTGGGTTTAGTTGGCTTAGGATCAGCATTTAAGAGGCTGAATAATTCTAACTCAGCGAAATTCGTCGGCCAACGACTCATCCGCCTTAAATCGGTAAGACGGTACGACTATTGAATTGTTATTTCTAGCACTACTAAGAGTCCAAAAGAATTTCTTTACGTAGCGGGTCGAGATGCGTCGTGGACACACTTAAGAATGCTTATAGATAAGCTGGGAGGACGGAGGAAAAATTGTGCCTTGTTGAAAAAGATCAGTTGGGGGTTAGAAATGGATTAAGTTCAATGATCTTGTCACAAAGTTTTCTCATCGATGCCGCGCTGACTTGGCAAGGTCTACTTAAGTTGGAGTGAGGATCGCGAAAGTGACAACCTGATCTTTAAGTGACCTGCTAATGTGTCTCTCCAGAACGTTGAGGGGTGACAGAGTTCGTACTGGTGCCTCGAAATCGTATTTCTTGATAACAGGAGTTTGACGCAGAGACTGCTATCTTAGGTTTCGACGTTGTGTGGTTTTAGACTGTCTTAGGTGGAAGGTGAAAATCTTAGTCTGAAAACATTAATGACGAGTCCGATGATGAAAAATGTTTAACATTTTGTTCCTTATTATCTATCCTCAGCCTAAGAATACATTACTTAACGAGGGACATACCTTAGAGGTTCTGCGTCGAGAAATTTAGTAGTTTGGCTAGAACGAAGCTCCTTTCCGGTGGAGACCTTCAAGGACAGCTCTGCTCTTATGGTTCTATACTCGATATACAGGGGAGCTAAGTAGAGTTTCTTGGGATTTGAAGGGTTTCCTCTTTGGAGAAAACAGCTTAGTTAAAATTTGGAAAAACTGTGCCTGTATTCTGCGCCCCAGACCGTACTTATTGCTTGGAGCGCTGGGAAGTTAGATACTCAGGAATTTTACACTACCAGAGGCTGGTTTTGAGGATTTAAGAAACTTGGCTGTTAATTTTAAAACTAGTGATTAATTCTGGTTCGGTCCAATGTATTGATTTTTTATTCTTCTTTCAGCGCATACAACGGCTGTACCGCCCCGGTGAGAGCTTACACGAGATACGCAACAGTTCGTCGAGCGATCGCAGTAGAACCGAATTCGGACGTTCCGAGGGCAATGGTGCAGTCGGAAATCTGGAATTGAACTCATATCAAGCACACGATGATGCACCGCCCAAGTATACGCCACCACCGAGCTACACCACGGCAACTGGTGCACGTTTCGCCAAAATCTTACGCCAAAGCATACGACGCAGTGTGCGACGGTAAATTTCAAACAGATAAATAACACAAAGCGCAAAAAAAACTCATTACTATTCTTTTCTTTCAGTGTACTTGGCGATCGCAGTCGCACACGTCCCATACTCAGCATCGACTCGGAGAGCAATCAACCCACCACATCCATGCAACACATACGCCATGACGAGGCGGTGGCGGTGGGACCACACTACACCAGCGCCGACATACCCAACATAAATGGTGCGCACATAATAGAACAACAACAACAGCAACAACACTTTTCCTGCACTTCTGGCGAACATCTACAGCGTTCACTCTCGCTGGGACGCAAGCTGACGACAAAACAACTGCAACCACAACATCACACAATAGGCGCTGGTCGCGGTCAACGCAGCACACAGCAGGCTGTAGGCGAACAACGGAATTTACGTGCGCCATACACTGCAGACGATGTGGTGACTGTATTGCGCTCAACCTCTTATGCGTCAGCACAAATGCGTCCAGAGACTGTAGCGGTAATGGCAACGCAGGAGCCGTCAACGCCGGAACTATGCGAACTCTCCGCCAACAATTATGCTTCTTTCCGTTCGATAGAGAATTTGGTGACGAATGCAGCGCCTATGGCGCGTAGTGAAGCGTTCGCGACGGCAGCGTCGGCGGTGACGGCGGCAGCAGCACGCGAGGAGGCGAACAATGTCAACGAAAGCGGAAGTAATACATCTGTGATTTAAAAGCAAACAAACAAGTGGGGCGAAAGTGGAAAAAGAGAAAAGGAAGATGAAGGAAAAATGATGAAGAGAGGGAGAAGGGGTGGAGAGTGCGAAACGAAGATGAAAACCAATTGAAATGGTTTTTTAGCATGTCCTAGGTGTATGTATGTATGTAAATAGTTAACATTAAAAAAAAAGAAATATATAAAAAATGTATGTGTGTAATAATAATATTATGATGAAAAATATGTTAAAATAAAGCAATAAATATACTAATTGTCCTAATTAATAAATATTATATTTTACGTTTTTCTTTTCTCTTCTCTCTATACACGCCCAAAAGGATACTCTAAATGCGCAAGTAATTTTCCAATTATTGGCTTCTCCCTTCAATGCCGCTCTGTGTGTATGCGTGTGTGCGTGTGTGCGTAGGTGTGTGTGTGTGTGTGTGCGTAGGTGTGTGTGTGTGTGTGTGTGCTATTATCCTTTGACACCTTCTTTTGAGTTTTAATTAAATTTGTTATCTTTAAATGCCTTCACACTCTCCATTAAAGTGCGAGTACCACAACTAAGAGATTCAATTTCGGGAGCAAAATTTAATTATAAATTACTCACCAACAAATTAAAGATGTTTGTTGGCAGAAACTCAATTGAGTTGCCATACATACATAATCACGTTTACGAGTCACATTCTTCCTCTTTACTGGCGTAGACACCGCTTAGGCGATTACAACCGAGTTATCAACAGCGCGGCCAATTGGAAATGAAAAGAGAACAAGGCCGCTCTACCCTGATCCTTCCAACGGCTGATATTGCAACGACCCTTATCTTATCCATCCGGACCTCAAGTCCTAGCCAGCATAGCCGCTGCATTTTGTGCAAAATCTTTCTCTCGAAAACACCTAACCCCGACTCGAGAATGATGAGCGACTTGTAGATTTGGTTCTTTGTGCATCGATTTCAATTGTTTACTCAGCCCAAAGTATCAACTGTCGGCAAGAGTGATTCTGCGTTAGATCTCAAAGCTGACATTGCGGGTGGTAATACTGCTGGTTCCAAGATAGACAAAATTATTTACAACTTTAAAGTTTCGACTGTCAATAGTGACTTGGGAGCCGAGTTGTGAGCTCGATAACAGCATATAATTCGTGTTGCCCTCACTGACTGCGACACCCATACGTTTCGCTTCCTCATCAAGTCTTAAAAACAGAACTCACAACGTGGACAGATTGTATCTTCTCTATGCCGCTCTGCAGCTCGTATTATTTGCTCCAGCAAATGTCTGAAATCTCGTTTGGTATCAAATGGCTCGTATAAGTCCTTTCATAGACATTAGACATAGCAGTGGAGAAACCGCTCGTTTTCTTGCCGTCGAATCGACGAAAAGTTGGTTGTATGACGATTCTGCGTTACGGCGGATTTACCAGATCTAAAGCTACACTTGATAAAGTCAAATCAGTTTACTGATGGTGGGGCCCGATTGGACCTTATATGCGAAGATAATTGACGTAGAATTTTGGGTTTTCCTTTCTTATGGATTGGGAAGAGCACACTTAGGTTCCAATAGTCGGTCTTGCTTTCATCCGGTCATATTCTACAAAAAAGTTGATGATGGGGGGGGGGGGCCCGATTGGACTTTTGGGTTTTCCTTTCTTATGGATTGGAAAGAGCACACTTAGGTTCCAATAGTCGGTCTTGCTTTCATCCGGCCATATTCTACAAAGAAGTTGATGTATAAACCTTGTCAGTTCTTCGCCGCCGTATATGAATACCTTGGACGGTAATCCATCGGCCTCTGCACTTTGCTGTTTTTTCAAGCGAGCAATTGCCATTTGAACTTCTTCAGAGTCGGGCATAGTCATCGATTTGGTAATTGGGTACGCCATATCGTGGTGTTTCATTTTCACCACGATTCAAGAGGCTGGGGAAGTGTTCAATCTATAAATTCTGTATACTCTGGGTATCAGTCGCGAGATATTTCTAGCATTATACCTGTCGACCAGCTTTTTCGGCTCTGCATACTCAAACATCCCGCCTTTCCTACTCTCCATATGTATACGAGTAAATAGAAATTTGATGATCTTGCGAGAAAGGACACCTTCATTTTAATATGATCGGTTTAGGAGGTAAGTAGAGCTAATAGCACAAGGGGCGAGGATATCATATATAATGAAACCTTGATTGGAGAGAACACGACGCAACCTATGCTCCACTTAAGCCCACCCTCCAGGATCATTACAACAGACATGTCTTTCAACCCTTCGAGCGACTGAGAGTAAGAAGTTAAACTGGGTCTCCTTAACGAATTTAAAGAATTTGATTAAGTCACAGATTTTACTTGACCACATTAGGGGATTGGAAATACACAAAGCCGTTTGATACTAAAAAAAAATTTCAGGTGATTTTGAATAGACAAACAAGACCGAAATCAGCGACGACGAGCAGCGCAGACGAATGAACGAAGTGTTGTCCGAAGGACAGGGTAATAAGGATACAGTCCAGTGAATTAAGATCCAGCGACCATTCCCTTACCATATTTTTTATGGTAAAATAATTGCTTCGCTTCGCAATAAATTTGCAGAACTTATGGACGCTTCTTTTCTTAGAAAGAAAACTTTTCATAAAAGCACGGTTTCCGTAGGTAAGTAGGAACATATCTGGTATCCATGGTCGGGACGCTCCTAATTCACTCGATAGGGAAATCAAACACTGAAAAAGCACGGGGAGGATTTTTAGATCATTTTTGATCATTTTTGCTAAGAACTTCTGATGGACAGAACCTCCAGATAGAGAGCATGTGTCCTGCTTTCTTACGGATTCATGCGACTGGTGCCTCCCTCACTTCTTACAACGCTCTACTACCACGGCTGAATACAATTTGGATTAAACAGTGTCAGTAGGCAAGAGATAAGCCGGCAGTGGGACTTCTGTCGATCTCTTCGTGTGAATAGTAGAGAAAAGCGTTGAGTCAATCCACCCCATTGAAGAGTTTCTGTAAGTTAACCATAATTGGGAAAATAGCTTTTTACCACTAAGGCGTCGCAGAGTCAATCTGAAACTGTCGTCTAGCCCACGTTGCATATTTTCCCGTCGCTGTCGCTCGCACTTGTGTCGCTGGTGCTTGTACCGATGGTCGTCATTCGAATCAAAGTTTGTGAAACTGTCCGGCATGCCATCAGCCGCTTGCCTGGAATAACTTACGACCACCGCCTTGACGAATCTCTTCGCTGCTCCACTCTCTCCACTGGCGCTATAGGCGGGTAGATAACAATATCTGCTCTAGCCGATGGTTATGTTTGCGAATCCTAATTAGAACAATAAGCTACACATAAAAACTCTTCAGTCCCTCGGTGGCGACTACATTTGTCGAAAAAACATCGCACTCAGATATTGGAGGAGCAGCTCGACTAGACCATCAGCTGAATCACTAAAATTTTTGTTTCGGTACCATTTTTATCGAGCTCAGGTGGGGAATGCCTGAGCCTTAATGAGCCTGTTCAAAGCCCTCAGAAAATCAAAGAGATTTATGTACATTCACACATATTTATGTGAAATAAAAGCTGTTGAGATGTACTAAAAATGAAACTAAAAGTGCAAATAATTTTAATTTCCTCTCAGAACTTACCAACTGTCGGTATTCTTAGTGCGCAAACGACATCAGGATGTGTCTAATTACTTCATTCCAGATATTAATGCGCACGGACACTTCCCTGCCAACTCTAGAACAACGCAAATGCAGCATAGATTTTTCCACACGCGCACTAATAAAAATCCAATTCCGTTGCTGACTGTTACAAATTGTCGCTTAAGTAGGTGCCTCATTGTTGAGGGCACGTTCTATAGGTAATACTCGCTCGCTTGCTCGCTTATTTTATATTGTTTGTTTTTTATTGTTGTTGTTTTCGTATGACTGGCAATGTGTTGCAAACTCACTTAGGTTAAGTTAAGTATTTGCCATGCCATGCCATGCCGTGCCACGCCGCGCTGAGCTATGCTGTGTCGAGCCACCGAGCCGCCGAGCCGCTCCGAGCCGAGGCATGTGTTGTGATTGCGCCTATATTTTATACTCGCATTGCTATTATTGTTATTATGACAACAATAACACTTAAAGTTTAATCCCTCGATCGTAATAAAAACGGTGTCTGATCTGCTTCTTCAACCGCTGTTGTCTCTTCTTCTTTCTCTTATTGTACATCTTCTATATTTGCTTGGCTCTTTACATATTTAGTTTAGTAGAGTAACAACAACCAGTGAATGGGCGGTCGGTGGTCATCTGTCTAAATGCGCGTCATTTCGCACTCGCACCCGTCCAAGCGCACATATGTCGCATTTGCTCATATTAAAAAGGTTTCCTTTTTTATTGGGAGAACAAAAAAAAAACAAACAACAAATACTATCTCAATAACGATAATCCGATTAGAGTCATTCTGGCAGCGAAAAAACGGAAGTGAGCGGCACGGCACGACCAACGCCACCAGTCGTTAGTTACTTTCGTCAATGAAGTTGCCCTTAATACAGATGTATATATGTTTGTGTGTAAAGTAAACATAAATGAGTATCTTTTTTCTGTAATTTAGAAAGAAAGAAATAATTAAAATTAAGCTTTTCCTTAAGTTAACTTTAAACTTTACTTCCGGTTCTGGAAGAGTCGCATTGAACTTAGATTTTGCTTGTCACCTTAGTACACCTATTTTACTACCTACTGGGTTGTTGTTGTTATATGTAAGAAACAGAAAAAAAGTCACTCAAAATACTCAGCGTCCACTTTGAACACAGCGCTCACTCAATTTCGCGCTCAAGTGAGGGTGAGTGTAATTGCCGAAGTTATCGATAATCGATTGAGCGATGAATTTATGCCTATATTTATTAAATAATTTAAATTTTTTCTAATATTAAAAACAAGTTAACGAGTTTCGCAAAGGATATACGAGATCTATTAAAGAAAACAACTCTCCTTTTTTCTCCAAAAATCATTTATTCTTCAATTTCTTTTTAGTTCTCCGTCAAAAGTTCTGATAAGGGGTTTTGATGTATCCTTGCCAGGCTCGAGATATGTCTCCTTAATCCTCATAGGACGCCATCTTATGCTATAAACCCCGCATTAGCGCTTCGCCACTGAAGCGATGTTCGGACGAGCTTCTCCTTTAATTTGTGGTGTGGGATTTGGTGTTTTACCAAGAGATGAATGAGAGATGAGACCTACAGAAGGCTTTATTTCATGTCATCGAGTGATGACCGCAATTCGAGAAAGTAATTTTCCATGGTTTTGTTGATCAGACCAGAACTCGAGTTCCTGCCAATGAACTGTTGATTACTCGACTATTGCGGGTAACTGACTAATACATATCTGTGAAATTAGAGACCCTTCGAAGTAAATGCTTATAGCCAATTGTCGTAAGGTCTCAGCCAATAATAAAGTAATTGGGATGGGGTAAGCGGGGAATGTCGGATTTCAACAGAAACATAATCGACATGTACAACTGGAAGGATAATATCGATGAGAAAGAGAAGAAAAGAAAAAGATGACGAGGTAGAGATAGAGGTAGATGAAGAAGTAGGAGAGCAAGATCAAGAAAAAGATGAAGAAGAAACAAAAGTTTATAAAGAAGAAGTACCAGAATAAGAAAAGGATGAATGTCAGGCTCAAGCGAGCGAAGAGAAAACTAGACATTGTTTTTGACGACTCCATTTAAACGACAAACTCATCATTCTGGATAAAAGGGTGGAACATTTGATTTAATGGAAACCCTCCTGAAAAGAATGAACTGTTTTAATTGTCCAATCCAGTCTTTAGGCGGCAATTACCAAAGCATGTAAAGCCTAGTCGCTGTCTCTTGATTTGCTGAACTATGCCAATGTCAGCATATGTATATCTTATGCAGCTAATCGTTCCCTCTTCTGCGTTGGAGTGGGGATGTAATGAGACTCCACATCTTTTGGGTATGCAGTTACAGTCGCGCAGGTCTATACTCCATTTCTACTCTTGCGTTCACGTCGCGCACCCATTTGTAAGATACGTTAGTCGACCAGTGTGGAGTCCTTGGTAACGACTAAAACGACTGCTTCAGTGGAGCAAATCCGCCTTATTCGGTTTTAAGTCCCTTTGAAGTCCAATCGCAGCGTGTGCTCACCAGAGTTGTGGCTACGAACGGGCAACGGTCTTGAAGTAAGCAGCTCGCTATCTAAATGTATGCCCCTACTCCTCTAGCGAGGCTATGCGCCACCATGTAGAAACTAGCTACATTGAAAAAAAAAATAGTACTTATAGCTGGATCAATTTTCTCTTCTACATCTTCTTAAGGTTTTTAGCTCTCAATGAAAGTGGAAGAAAAGCTTAAAATATATATCTGAATGAAGTAAGAAGCTCACGTTCGTAGATCATTTTAGTCCAGGGTAGGGGAGCTAACCCCACCAAAAGTTCGTATTGGTACAAATTCCAAGTATTACTCCCAAAAGACTGGTTCGGTAGCCGGCTGCGGGAATAAAAAATACTTTAAAATTATTTTTATTATAATAAATAAATTTCACTTTAATAACTTTAAACGTCTTTGTTGTTGTACAGTGTAATTGGTAATAAAAATTAAATTACTATCCCACCAATGACTTTTGATTGAAATAAAGAAAAATTTTTGCTTTGAAGTCATTAATTTTTTAGTCCAATTCTAGCAAGGCTCACAAAACTGATTGTCACATTATTGATAGAAATATCACACGCGCCTAAGACTGTGCTACTAAAAACTAATATTTAGTGCTCATGGACAGCGCATAGATTATTAAGAACACATTAGTGCAGCAATGAAGCAGAAGAGAATCTAAAACTTTTGTGACTTTCAAGAGGATTGGTCTGAAGTGGATTTTTATAACTTTTAAATTTACCTTTCCACATAAACATACACACATATATGTACAATATATTTCGCGATGCCACCACGACTACATGATGCCCACAGAAAGTTGTTTCACTCAATACACAGAGCGAACATTGAGCATTTGACCACGCGCTCATTTGCTCAAACAACGCTAACGCTCATTCAACATAAAATTATTCACAATTCACAACTTGCAACTTCAGTTGATTTTTGAGCACGCAACGGTAAAGTAAAGTGTGAAAATTATAGCGCGTACGAAACGATTTCTGTGACACTGACAACCTGAGTTTTTAACAAGAAAATAAGTGTATGTAGACACACACACACATATACACACAAACGTATATATGAACAACGTACAAAGTATACAAAGAGAGAAGAAGAAGTTGATTTAATTAATTTTCGGCTAATGGAGGATAAATTTACTCCTGTAAGGCGAATTTGTTTTTTTGCTTTTTGCTTTTTGGGTGTACGAAAAATGAATAAAATTCAATTTGTTTAATTTGTAAAGTAGCAAAGGATAAAATGAAACGATTTTTAATAGAATTTTAGAGTGGAAGTGCAAAAGCCTCAATTTTTCAACCTTTTTTTTTTTGATAGATATGTTTTTTTGAGATTTTATGACGAAGAGCGACCACTGCGACTACTTTTGTACACTTTTTTTTTTGTTATTTTCTTTTATTTTTTTTTTGATGTGCGACTCCTCCTGATTTGTGGTGCGTACAAAGAAACATACATACATATACGAATACATATGTACACGAATTGGGTAGAAACCGAAAAGTGGAAAAAAGTGTGAAGTGAAAGGTGCAAAATTTTTGTGAAAAATTATTGTCTATGTGTGTTTGTTACTAAAATGTACATACATATGTATGTGCATATACTTTTAGTTGTATGTACATACGTGTATGTATGTATGTCTGTATGCATGCAAGTATGCATTTAACTGCATAAACGGCGTTTCGTGAAAAACCAATTGTAATAAAAGTGTCAATTGCTCGTGAATTTTCATGCAAGAAAAGCTATTTTCCAGCGGAGAAGCCACGATTTGTGAGGCGAGAAAAAGGTGTTTTTCTTCTTTTTTTTTTTTGTTTTTTGAGGAAGTATCGACATTTTTGTTGCTGGAAAGTGAGCAAAAACAAAAAGTGGAAAAAAGAACGAGGATATTTTTGGCGTCGCATAAATTTGGGGAAAAGCTCATAATGTGTAAGTTCAATGATAGCTATAGATTTGTGTTGAGAAATGCCTGCAAGCAAGGCATATACATATACATACATACATACATACATAATATATACAAGTCTTTATACGATGTTAAAATATAAAAAAAAATATTTTTTTTGAAGCACAAATGCTCAGTTAAAAATATATAACCACTCATACATACATACACGTATACATGTATCTAAAATTGACAAATATCTGTATGTATTTAGCCGCAAACTGATTGTTTATGCCTTGACTTCTGGTCTAATTGTTGCACGCAATTCTTTCGTTTATTTTTGTTTTCAACTTTTTTTACTCCCATTTTTTCTTCTACCTTACGCACACAGCTAAGTAAATATGTATGTACATATGTATGTGTATATAAGTATCATAAGTGCTTATTAGTCTCTTACAAGTTTTATAATTTTTTAATTACAACCTCAAGTGAGTGAGAACAGTCAGGTGCAATGAAATATTTGCATCATTTACACATACATACAGACATTGTTGTTTATCTGCGTAATTTATGAGCTGTGCTCTACATATGTACATACATTCATTTGCACGACAGAAGCGCAAATATAACATGAACCACAAAGAATGGTGACAGCTTAAGAGCCATTCATACACGTATGTTCATCTGCATACATACTTATATATATGTATGTATATACATATGTACATAAGAGGTTAGCCGTAATACGACGGGTCAAAAATGTTATTTACTTTTTTCATATCATTTTTTTCTGATTTTTTTTTAGAATTTTTTTTTTTTTGCATTTTCTAAAGCACTCTTGTTAGAGCACTGCGCAAACACTTCTTCATTCGTGCTTTGGCTTTGCTTTGTGGTGTGGCGCTTTGCAACATTGCAACGTTGAATACTTCTTTTTTTCTGTTTTTGTTATTGAGAATCCATCATCAGCGCCAACATCCATTGCATCTAATATTGTTCGTCTGCTGCCAATTGCCAATTGCTGTGACAGTGCCAGTGTTGCCATACAAACTTTATTTTCGAAAGAGAAATACATTCCAAAAGGTTTAAAAACAAACCGAATTTAAACTTACACTTTCCGGCGGCCAAGTCGTCCCTAGACTGGTTCCTCCTTTGTAGTGACAGGGAAGAGTTCGAAATTTGGTTTGTTTAAGAGCTTCCCGATATCTACAATAGCTTCTTCTAGTTCTCTGACCTGCAAAACCCCCAGATGTTAGAGTCGCGCTAGTAAATATAAAACGATAAGGTATACCTTAAAGAGGGGCGAATAGTTGAATAGAAGTGGTGTAGAGAGTAGGCGTCCGCACTTTCCAGCTTTTAACAATGTTAGTGATGGCCATTTTTCAAGCTACTGACTCCCGTAGATCGTCCCTAGGTAGTAGGCTGTTAGTAGACTTAGAACCGTTTTGCGTTTCCTTTGAGAACGCGTAAGCAAAAATTTTCTAGATTCTCCTTCGCTGTTTTCACGCAGATTTTGACGTTTTTACAGACCATCAAGCCATTCCATTTCACTTCCATCGATCTTTCAGCTCTTCCATCAATTTCCTTGTACAGAGTCTTTAGTGCTTTGCGTATTTCATGGTTCCGTTTAGTTTAGGAGATCTTACAAAGGAGCTTAAATGCCGAAAAGCTTAATAAAGTTGAATAAACAAATATCCATAAGCTGGCCGGTGCCAAAGTAAAAGAGGTCCTTTGCATAAAAGGGTTGCAATGAAGTTAGTAAAATTTGAGAATTCTTTTTCGAAAATACCATGAAAGTCTGGGTTAGGTGAAGAGATGAAAATTTATCTCATATGTTAAATAACTGTCGTGTTCTACGTGGAAGAAGGTGTTTAAAATCCCTGAGCCCCTTTATCAGATTGTTTTTTTTTATCGGGTCATCAGGTAGACATTGTGATGAGCGACTTAGGAAAACTCATCAGGAAATCCAAAGGAATTGAAATATTAATGACCAGCAATCTGTTACTATCCAATCTGCGACAGCCAGAAACACTAATCTCTAGAAGTTGTTGAAGTCCTGTTATTATTTGCTGCCAGTTGAGCCGTACTCAAGCTTAGATCATACTTAAAAAGATCTCTTTGATTGGGACTCAAATTAGCACTCCGTCAGTTGCCTTGTTGTAGAAGATCTCTGAAGAGTAAGATTTGGTAACTGCAGTAAATTTCGAGAAATAATGAATCCCAGCTTAAAAAAGACGAGAGAAATACAAATGAAGAAGTCTCCCAAAAGCCACTAAAACAATTTATTATAATCCTCCGTGGAATCTACAAGAGCTAAGGAAATACAGAATTACGGAAGCAGGATATTTTCAGATTCACAGACTTATCCGGAGCTCGATGTGGGTAATTAGTCGTTGAGGCAAATTCATGCTTTCATCTCTTGGGCATCTCAAAAGAAAACCAATTATATCTACTTGAAGTCAACTTTAATGTCAAGGAAAGCAATACAGTCTAAGTGCAGATGCTTTTCGCATCTTTACCGCGATGACTAACCAACCAAAACGACGGTTTATTCTTACCCCCTGCGGGTTAGGGGCTCAAGAATTTACCACCGGTAAGGCATGCCTGTCGTAAGAGGCGACTAAGATCCCGCGACAGTTGGTTTTTTATACCGGAACGACCCGGATTTTTATCCGGACAAGGACTGTCACTCACACAAAATTCCCCAAAAAGTACTTTGGGGAATAATTTTGCGGTTACAACAACAACAACAACGGTTTATTCTTCCCAATCAGTGATATTTCGGTTTGACCAGATAAGCAATATGTAAAGTCCTCTCTAGACAAGGAGACACTAAACAAAAAGGCATCTGAGCTAAATGACGACATGAATTCGTGCCGAGTTATCAAAATCTCTTGGTTGCTATTGCAAGGCTTTGTTGAAGGGATACACAACACCACGAAACGATCCTTTAATGCGGCCATTGAAGCCAAGCAGCTAACATCATGAAGAAATTTCTTTTTCTAGATAGGGTCACACCCCAGCAGGGAATATCAACCTACCCGAGTGTGTTTCTGACATGAAAATCAAGACTTCTCCATAAAAATTGATCAGCCGTTCGAAGAGGGTTCCGAATCAACAGTAGGTCCGTACATTCCTTTTAAACATATTGACTCGCAACTACAAAGACGAGGAGGATCTTAATCGAAAATCAATTCAGCTGCTTTAAAGCTCCAATTGCAGGGATCTCTACTTCGAAAGATTAAATGGAGAGTAACTTGCCTGCACTCGATGCCACCGATTCGTGACAAAGCGCACGTTGCGGAAGATGAATTTGATATTTCATATGTATATCTGATCTTTGCGCTGTCTCTGCGCCCAATTTTCTTCGATTTCTTATTACAATATAAGGAAAACATGGCAACACTACACCCCGCATCATAGTAAAACATGCAACCACTCACTGTCAGCCACAGAGTAGAAAATTAGTTAAAACTCTCGCACGGCTTTTCAGCTACCGACTTTTTGAGTGAAATCTCGCGCATAACCATTTCATCTGCTCAGCAAATCTCTAGAGCCGCATTGAGCGCATTCACAATAGAGTTTAAAGCGCGAGCAACGGAGTTGGTTGGAGTTTCTTGGCCAGCAGGACACTCTCATTAAGCAACAACACAGCTACCAACATATATATATGTATATATGGGCGAATGTATGTACATATGTACATAGTACAAAGTATCTACCAACTACTCGCATACTTATTGTTGTATTTTGTTTTCACACTGTTTATGTACTCATTGGCTTTTGCTTTGTGCCACATCTTTTTTTCTTGCTCTCCGTTCTGTTCATTTTTCATCATTTCATCTTTGCCTCTTGCGCTATGTTGTATGCTTCTCGCATGCTCTGTGTATGTGTGTGCACGATGGTGGTGGCAGCAATGGTGATGATGATGATGTCCGAAAATTTCAGTTTCTGTTTACGAGTTTTATTTGTTCTACTGCTGCTTTTTGGTCGGTCTCGACTTTAAGGTCTTGCGTGACGTTCTTTCTACTACGTTTTCGCTCGGCATAGAGTTTTTCAACGCTAATTTTGGAGTATTTTTATTTTAATTTTTTTTTACTTGTTTTTTACGCAAGTTTTTGGTGGTCTCGTCTTCTTGGTCATTTCGTTGTCTGCCTCCTCTTCTGTGTGTGCGTTTGTGCGGCGTAAAATGACATTCCTGGCTAGTCAAGGAAAGAAGTCAGTTGAAAACAGCCTTGGGGCGGTTGCCAGCGACAGCTTTAAAATGCGAAAGGATATGCATAGTTGTTGTTATTGCTATGGCTAACGCTTTCTGGCAAAGATGTCTCCGGTCTCTTTTGGTCTACTAAGAGTTTTCCACACTTCCAACTAATTTCATGCGGCTACGCCAAGCAGACATTTCAATTTAACTTTTCTCGACCGCAAAATTTTATTTTTTATTTTTTTGTATACACGTATGTATGTATGTGCGTACTGTATTTATGGGCAGTTTGTGTGAAAAAATTAATGCAGCCTAAATTTCATTGTTTACTAAGAAAATTTCCTTATTGTTAGCATATAAATAAATAAATATGTAAATTCCAATACATATATAGGCATATACATACATACATACATATATAAATAAATAAATATAAAAAAAAAACCGCTAATCCCGTGAAACTTATTTAGTGAATTTGTGAAATCTGTGAGATTTGTTGGAGTGTTAAGAATTCGATTAAAAGTTGTTTCAGTTCAAATACTCGCACGCACATACATACACGTACATATATACAAACTTACACACTTTATGTACATACATACATATATAAATATTGTATATCTCTTGTTAGGCATTGATTTGCATATGAATGACTACATTTTAAATCAGCCCAAATGGATTCTCTCGGTACATGCATAGATAGATTTTGTATTTCTTTGTTATTGTTGTTGTAGCTAGAGTAGTTACAGTACATATTTATGTGAGTATGGTGCATGTTTAGGGCACGCCTACGGTTATATGTTTGCTTTTGTTTGTGTTGTCATCCGAGTTTTTATTTTGTTGTTG